TGATAAAAATCTTAGAAGAAAGCATGGGAAAAACTCTTATGATGTTGGACTGAAGAAAGATTTTATAACAAAGATTTCAGAGGCCATTGCAACAACATCAAAATTAACAAATGGGACTTAAGTTGATAAGCTTCTGCACAGCTGAGGACACAAAAAGTAAAGCAAATAGACAATCTTCAGAATGAGAAAAGATATTTGCATGGTATGAATCTGACAAAGGTAATATTTCTGGTGACCAGATCACAAACAGATCCCTAGACTGCTCCTGTAAGTGCTGCTAATGCCATCACTAACGATGGTCCACTTCCTTGACTCTGGTTATGGGCAGAGATATTTCACTCTCTCCTGACTTTCTGATTTCTACATTTCTGTCTATGGTTATTTAGAACCTGGGAGCTCAGGCCTCAAATGACTAGCCATTGGGCAGTATTCTGCCTGATTGGTCTAGGATGTGTACCCACTTATGAATAAAAAGGCAATGAAATTTTACTGTAACATGACATGGCTAACATATTGTCTTGATTCTAGAGAAGAATGGCCTTTTAATGGACCCTTAAATTATTACAATTATGTTACATTATTTAAAATATCAAGTCTCATTAAAATACTTAGGTTTGTTTTTTCTTGGTAAAATTTATGAGTTTAAAAGTAGTAATTAAAAATCTGTATTGGTATATCTAATTTATAGGCTATAAAAATGGCTAACAGAAAAATGAAAGGCGGGGTAACTACTAAGATAAACAAATTAGGTAATTAAAATATTAATGCTCTAATTTACAATTGCCAAAATATGGAAACAGCCTAAATGACCACCAACCCAGGAATGTATTAACAAGCTGTGTATATGTATACCATGGAATACTATGCAGTCATTAAAAAAGATGGAAACTTTACATCTTTTGTATTAACATAGATAAAGGTGGAACACATTGTTCTTAGTCAAGCATCACAAGAATGGAGAAGCAATAATCCTCAATTCTGATATGAGGACAGTTAATAACCTAGTACATGGTGGGGGATGGGGAAAGAGGAGAGCAGAGAGAGGGAAGGAAGGAGAGGGGTGGGGGATCACCTTTTGGGTACAGGACACAATTATAAGAGTGACTTTACCTGACAAATGTAATCAATGTAACCTGGTTCTTTGTACCCTCAATAAATCCCCAACAATAAAAAAAATTAATAGTTTGAATAAAAATATATTTTTGAAAGCTGAAAAATATAAATTCTGCTTCTGTTTGTCCATCTGCTTATATATTTTATGTACACGTGAAGTTTCACTACTAAAATTGGCAACAGAGCTCTAACTAGTTGGCTTTCAAAAAGAAAAAAAAAAGAGAGAGAAAGCACTTCTATCAAATACTTTATCAAGAAAACAGAAAAGAACTCAAATGCAATTTTATTCATGTGTCTGGTACCCTTTGAAAAATAAAATTAGTTTTAAAATTGTTATTAAAGTTCAAATGTTTAAAGATTATAAAACTACCACATCTGCAGTGTTTCTAAGTTTTACTGGATTTGACTGTGAGCTTATGTCCTTAATTTTGAGACTGAATTCTGAATGCTACATAGGTGGCTGTAGTGAGGCCTGTAAACATGTTCTTGATGCGTAGGCCAGCAGCTACAAGTCACAATCTTGGTTTCTTCTTTCCTGCTCCAGTTTTTTCCCCCAGGCTATTCCATGATAAATTGAATCCTCCTGTCACCGAGTTCTCTGTCTTTGCACCTGGTAAATGAATTAAGTTCTACCTTCTGTAGCCATTTTTGTTGACAGATAGCCATGTGAGACTCAGAAGGACCAGGAAAGACATCAGGGATGGTACCTATATTGTGGTTTTAGAACATTTTTAAGTAACTTAAAAACTTAAAGTCATGATATGTTAAGCCAAAAAGATAATCATGAAATGTCTCAATCATTTTGTAAGATGTATTACTTCAACTGTCTATAATTATTTGGGAAATTGAGTCTTTTCTCTGTAAAAGAATAATATTTTTGCCTTTTAATTTTTATAATTATTAGTTTGACTATGTGAATGATTAATTTATAGTAAACTGTCATCCTGTTTTGGAGGGTTTTTTTGAGACAGAGCCTCAAGCTGTCCCCCTGGATAGAGTGCTGTAGCATCACAGCTCACAGCAACCTCCAACTCCTGGGCTCAAGCGGATCTCCCACCTCAGCCTCCCAAGTAGCTGGGACCACAGATGCCTGATACAATGCCTGGCTATTTTTTTGGTTGCAGCTGTCATTCTTTGGCAGGCCCAGGCTGGATTCAAACCTGCCACCTTAGGTGTATGTGGCTGGCACCTTAACCACTTGAGCTACAGGCAACGAGCCTGTCATCCTGTTTTATGAAAAGTATTTTTAGTAAGAATATTAAACAGAAATAACATTACAACAAAGACATTTGTATCAGAATGTTTATTGCAGCCCAATTCATAATTGCCAGGTCATGGAAGAAGCCCAAGTGCCCATCGATCCACAAATGGATCAACAAACCGTGGTATATGTACACCATGGAATACTATGCAGCCATTAAGAAGGATGGAGACTTTACATCCTTTATGTTCACATGGATGAAGCCGGAGAATGTTCTTCTGAGCGAAGTATCACAAGAATGGAGGAAAAAGTATCCAATGTACATACCCCTATTATGAAACTAATTTATACCTTTTATATGAAAGCTATAACCAAATAGCCTAAGAATATGGGGAGGGGGAGGGAGAAGGGAGGGGGAAATGGGTGAAGGGAGGGGGTTTGGAGGGATCACTTCTGAGGTTTATCTTATGGGGGTACTACTAAATAGTATTTAAATTTCTTTGGCTTGTGTTTATATATAGATACTGTTAATATATATTCCTATACTGCAGAATATTGATATGTATTAGTGTATTTTATCATTAATAGTTCTAGTTATGTTAAATTATTGTATGCCAAGAAAACAATCAACTTTGTCAATTGTCTCTTTAACCATAGCTATTCTGGGACTTTTGTCTTCCATAGACAATTATTTTATTTGATTGATCTCAGGAAGTGTGGAGTTTTTTTTATTTTAACTAGATAAGTCCAAAGTTTGTCCTTTAATGAAAGTAATGGAAATGCTGACAGGTTCTCTTGAATACAAATTTCTGATAGCTTTGGAGATTATATACCATTGAACTAAAAAGAAACTTCTAGTATTTCAATTAGAAAGCTGACATGTCAATGAGTATTACTGACTTAACCTCAAACAGAACAGAAATTAGTTACATATGACTGAGCTAATTTTTATGATTTTTGTTGGAAATTTTGCTGATTCTTTCTGTGTTCTGTTTTCTAGAAGTTAAGAAAAAAAATAAAAAACTTTTCTATCTTTTGAGCTATTTATAGCTTACAGCAATATATGTATTTGAAAGCAAAATTTGAAACTTTTTTTCTCTCTACTTGATTTCTCCTGAATTTGACAGCCATTTACAAGTATTCTTAATTTATCACAGTATAGTTATTTGCATAAGTTCAATAGGAATTTGTTTTCTTCTATAAGAAACAATGAAACACTCTGGTTATTTTACCACGACTTTGACGAGAATGGCATATCATATTTTCAACAATGTCCAGACTGCATTAAATAATTAAAGTTGATTTTATTTTTTATTTTATTTATTTATTTATTTTGGTGACAGAGTCTAACTTTGTAGCCCTTGGTAGAGTGCTGTGGCATCATAGCTCACAGGAACCTCAAATACTTGGGCTCAAGTGATTCTCTTGCCTCAGTCTTCCGAGTAGCTGGGACTACAGGCACCCACCACAACTCCCAGCTATTTTTAAAGATGAGATCTCTCTAGCTTAGGCTGATCTCAAACCTGTGAGCTCAGGCAATCTGCTGGCCTCAGCCTCCCAAAGTGCTAGGATTACAGGTATGAGCCACCATGCCCAGCCTAAGATTGATTTTATAAAGTCAATAGAAAACCTGTTGGGAAAACTGGCCAGATACCACATCAAAAACATTTACTGATCTGTGGTAGATAAAACATGTCACTTTCTAACAGGCCCAGAAATCCCAAGTCACTTCAGAGAAGAGGGATTTACCCAATAGATGAATCTAATGGCACAAATGAATCCTTGACTTTGTTACTAGATGAAACGGGTCTGTTCGCCTGTCACTGTCATCCAATATGCATAGATGGATAGGTCCACCAAACTTTGTTTGTCTTAAGGCCAGGATTCTGGAGAACAATGAGAATAACCTCTCCAAGACTGTTCTATTCTTCCATTTCCAACATTACAGCTTTGTATATTAGTTCAAAGTAAAGACCATGTTAACCCTCATCTTAAACAATATTGGTAGAACCCATGACTCATAAACAATTAATGACATTATATTTTAAAAGTTAACTTCCTAAATCAATTCACCTAAACTACTCAAGTTATGCATCTTTAGGGTGGGAGCTAAATTTACAAAATAGTAAGAATGGGAACAGGTGATGAAGGTCAGGCAGGACCTAAACTGACCAGACCAGCCATGTCATGTCTGTCCTAGCCTGACAGAGTTCAGATAGACTTGGTTTCACTATATTTGCTTTCACCTTGACTAGAGAGTCTTTCAAGTCTAATCTGATATTCCCTGTGACAAAGTTTCAGCAATGTCAAATTTAAAAGGAAAAAAACACTATGTAACTAATTCTTACTGCACTTTATGCAAATAATCAGGCCAAGTATAGTGAGAGCAAAATTTTGGGGGCAAGTAAATTATTCATACTGTAGGCAGAATTTCTCTGTGCCAGATCCTTGATCTTGAGTTTCAAGGAGTGATACCATAAACCATTCAAGTAAGTGAAAGGACAGAATTTACTGAAAGATAAAGAAATAGATAAGGGAAAGAGGCTGAACAAAACCACAAGCAATGGAGGAGGATCCCAAGTGGGCAGCCTGTTTGGGACTTCTATCTAGGAAATTATATACTACTTTTATATCTCATTATTGCAGGAAAACAGGCCTGATGGAGAAAAAGAAACATCCAAACATCTGCATTTAAAAGAGGAAGAGCTTTATTTCAGCCATCAGAGACATGGTGGACTAAATTCCAAAAATGGCTCCCTGCCTGGCCCTGTCCTTTCCCTTTTGAATCCAGCCAAGGGTTCTTTGTCCACAAGTACCCTTTCTCATTGGTCAGTTTAAATCGAGCTGGAGAAGGCAGGCACTTGCTTTTACAGAAGTAGAAGCAAGCATTAGTTTCAAAGTCCCAGGAAGTTAAGTTTCTATGAATTCCTAAGAGGTGAGTCACCATGGAGAAGACTTTGCAGGAGTGTCCTTGGGTTCCTGTGAGAAGCATTTTGTTCTTTCAGACCTTGTTTTTCCCAGGTATTCTCTGTCACTGTGGGCAGAGGTTTTGGGGATATGTATGTCCAAAACATGTCACTATTGTCCAGAAGCCTGCAGGTAGAAAATAATCCTAAAATTAGCAAAGGAATATGGTCCTTGCAATCTTTGCCCCAGGCAAGGCATTAGGGTGCTTCCTCCTCCAGAAGGAACCGCCCAGATGAGACACCAACCAGCCTACTTTTCTTCATGCTCTTGCTTGGATGAAGTTTATAAAGGGCCTGTTTGTGATGAGACTGAATTCTGAGCTCTCCCAGGCTTAGAAAATAGGGGTTATCTGTCCCACCCTGAATAGAAAAATACGGTACCAATATTATAATTTGTCCTTAATAAAATGAGAAACTAGAGAGAAAAATACAATTCAAAAATGAAGAACTGTTATCCACCTGTATTAGACTCTAGCCTATCTTCAGTGCCAGCTCATAGAATAAGATATAGCTGTTTAACTAAACTGATATGTTCACAGGACTAAGAAATTAGCCAAAACATATAGAATTATATATAGTAGTCAAATTTTCTTCATTTTTTTCTTTTCAGCTTGTTTGTCCTAAAATGACACACTGGTTTTAACATATAAAACTTTTAATTTCAAAGTAGGACTGAAATAAATGAAAAATATTTACCCCAAAATGCATTTTTTACATATTTGGAGATGGCTGCCACAAAAAATGACATTGCAAAACCTTGTTAGAATTAATAGTCCCAATCTACAGACTATATACCGAAAGATTGGAAATTTGTCTCCAACTCTTAAAACTGATAGGTAAGAAAATTGAAAAGCCTTAGGCTTTAACAAAGATAGCTCAACTCACTAGCCCAGGCACCCCTACGAATGCAGACAGTACTGGATTTTCTATTGGCTGCACTGGAGGAAATCTATACAGTCCTCTGTTTACTTCTAAATCCTGGTGTAGTTTTTGAGATATCTTCCAGGGTTTGCTTTTCAGTAACAGATGTACCCAGACCAAAGAATTTACTCAACTGGTTTTGGCCCATCCACCCAAGATGGCCCTCCCACCTCTTACAAAGTCCTCCAGCAGATGACCTTTGATCTTGGTGAAGGCACAAACATCACCTTCTGAGCTACACTGTGCCACACTCTGAACCGCTTTTAAAAAAGATCCCTTTCCCTGCTTCACAAAATCTGTATAAGTTCCAGCCAGTGACAGGTTCACCTCAGGACTTAGAGGGTAGGACCTAATGAACAACTTGAGGGAAAGTGGACTAGCTCCTGGGAGAGCCTGCTCACCACCCCGTGGCTGTCAAGTTCACTAGATTACCTCATTCCCACTGAAATGGGACAGTAGATGTGAGAGAAGGATGGACCCCACTTCAGGTATAATTAAGTAATAGAAATGTATTGATAATTTGATACACTCACAGGTGTACCTGCAGGGAGCTCTTGTGGTGGGCCAACAAGAAGCCTCAAATAGCGGGGAAGAAGCCTTTTTATACCATTATTCTGCATAGTCATGGTGACTAGCAAGCTAGCGCAATACAGAAGCCAATCATAGCAGTTAGAATGGGGTGGCAGGGTAGGGCTACATATTGATTCATATATCACAAGATATATCACAAGTACATTACTTCATGATCATAAGATGGGGTATGTCATAGGAGTTTAAACAATTCAGGGTGGAGGTACATGTTTACTTAGGGTACATTAGCTCATAATTCAGGGGTACAAAACAAGTTTTGTGTAAATTTCCGAGTACAACTCAGGACTTTTTTATCCGGGCCTTTTTTGGAATCCAATCCTCTTTTCCTCAACCCCTCCCTGTGATACCGGGTTTCTAACACTGGATTTCCAGGCTCTTGGTCTCCACGATTCAATGAATGAGTCGACGGACCATAAAACGAACAGTGAGGTTTTATTTACAGAGGTACTATTACAGCTCTTACAAGAGCCAAACCTCCTTGTAGAGGAGGGTCATCGGTAGAAGTGTTACAGCTCCTATTGTAGGGTGAGATCAGCAGTAGAAGTGTTGCAGCTCCTACAAAGGACCAAGCCTCTTTGCAGGGCAGGATCAGCAGTAGAAGTGCCACAGCTCTCGCTCTTTCTCCCTCAAAGTTCTGCAACAGCTCACTGAAGTCTTGTTCTTCTGCTCTATCTTCCTCGAAGGTCTTCGACAATCTGCTCCCAGGGTTTCTGCTCAGGGGTTTTATATAGGGGTAATAGCTTAGCTGTGATTGGTCTATTTTATAGAGTAGGATTGAAAATGGACCAATCAGGGATACACCAGTGTTTTCCCCTGATTGGCAGGTCCTCTAGCGCCACTCTACTGGAGCCTCTAGTGGGGGAGGAAAGTTCCCCCGTTTGCTCCAGTCTGCCAGTTCCTTTGTGGGCTGCTGCCACCAAGACAGAAGTGGCAGGTCCCCCAGGCCCTACTCGGCTGAGCTGGCTTGGGCACCACTTTTCCAGTATCACCTGCATACTTCCTCAATTTCAGGCTGTTTCTCTACCCTTGAGAAGGCTGGAACTAAAAGCTTAGGAAACGCTTCCTTTTCAAGGGTAGGGGTCTTGTTCCCCACTGGTCTTAGGGAGGGGGTCAAGGGCTGGGGGCTTGGTTATTACACCACAGTAAATCTCATTCCCCTAAGAAAATCAATAAACCTAAGCTCAATCAGTGGAAGAACTGTGTGGAGACAATGGTTAAGAGTTTTGGTCATCAGGATAGAAAGCATATTCTCATTAGGCATCTTTGTTTGTTGCTGTATTCAGTGTGGCCCTGGGTTTTTTTGTACTGCCTGTTGTTCCCAGTATAATTTTAAACCTATCCCTAGTCCTAATAAGGTTGATCCTTGTAGAGATGCAGTAAATCACAGTAATTATTTCCATTTAACTACTGTTTCATAGATAAAAAATGTAACAATAAGAGTGGGCAAATGCAGCCAGAAAAGCTAAGCTGAAGTAGTACAGCTGACCTATTTTGTTCAGCTCACATACTTTTTCCCACATACATTACATGATTATCTAGTTAAGGTTTCACATGATTGTGAGGATATAAAAGACTTTGGTGAAGGCAATAACACCTAGACAATAAATGTTTTTATATTGCTAAAGGTTACTTTTATGTTGTTTAAATACTGTTATATTCTTAGAGTAAATGGTACCTTTATGTTGTTCTCTTTGATGATCCTTATTTTTTTTTTCCCCATGGTTTTTGCCAGGGCCAGGCTTGAATTCACCACCCCTGGTGTATGGGGCCGGCGCCCTACTCCTTGAGCCACAAGTGCTACCCTCTTTGATGATTCTTTTAAATAAAGTGAAAATTGTCTAGGTTTATTTTCTTGTATCCCTTTACAAAAACTACTAAAGTTGTAACTGAGGCATAACAGATCTGACAGGCTACTCTTACAGTTCTCTAGTATTGGTGGCCTTCTAACAATAAAGCTTGTTGGACCTAATACCCATCTCTGCATTTGGCTGACAGTGACAGACAGCCACACCCTCTTAATCCAGTAACTTACCTGCCTCAAACTAACAAAAAAATCTAGGTATAATGATGAAGCTGTGTATAACAATATATAAGCTTATGTATGTGTGTCTCTCTCTCTTGGTTTTCTACATGTTTTTAGTTGGATAAAGTTCTCATGAGTTGCTACACACACACATGCAAACTTACACATGCATAAAGTATTCACATATATACTAAGTATACTATACACACAGTATAAATTTTTAAGACAATTTTGTAAGAATAAATATATATACGATATGTTTTCAAAAGCTGTTTCTGGTTTGTGTGTGTGTGTCTGTCTCATGGTTCTCAGTGACACATAAAATTCTTATAGCTTGTTAATGTATACACACATACACAGACTTATGTATACCGTAAAGTTGAGGGGAAACTTCTTTTTTTACCCAAAAGCTTTCGGTAAGATCAACCCACAGCTGATGCAGATTCATAAGAGAAACATTTACCATGTGAAGAGGAGAATCACAGAGTACCTACCCTATACTCCAGTTAAGTTAAGATGTATTTACATCAATCTTTTGACAGGAAGGGGAAATGAGTACAGGTAATTCTTTTTAGAGGTGACAGATAGTGCTATGGAAGACAAATGAATGAGAGAGACAAATTGACATGTAAATTATTCTCTTTGCAAATTAAATTAACCTGAGGTACACTATTATATTTAATTGATTTGGGCCAAGTGTGGTTGCATTATTGATCTTCTTTCCTGCTATATATTGGGATAACAGGGAGAGGAAGGGAAGTCAATTGCCCCTTTGATCTTTTGATCAGGTCAGTCTGGTTTATTCAAATAGAGGATAGCATTATTCCAATGCTTCCTGATCTCAAATGGCTTTTCATTCAAAATAATCTTTGCAGCAAAGAGTCATATTTGGGGGCAAAATTTCCTGAGCTCCTTCAATGCAAACCAATCCACTCTGAAAGTGCAATTTGTAAGGATAACGATCTACATCATACATTTTTGATGACTATTTCTGGTATTATGGGAGAATAAATTTTTCAGCTATTTGATGTTTTTCCCAAATGGATGTGTATTAACTTAATACTCAGATAAAATAATAATTATTAAACTATACATATGCAGATGTTATGTTAGGAAAATATAACAGAAATTGAATTACTTTTTAATTTTGGGGGCTTTTCACATTTATTTCTACATTTTTCTATGAGGAAGAGCTGCTAGAGAAATTTCAGATATAACACTCAGGAAATCAATGACTCACATGGTGAAGCTCAGAGGTCAAAAAACTTTTCTTAATGCCATGTCACATTAAGGCTCACTCTCCTCCTCATCAATACACTCATTAGCTGTGACAAGGCAATCTTATCAAGTCTCCTGAGATCCAAAAGGAAAAGGCTCATTTGCTGTTTCCAGGAGCACTTCACTCCAGGCCTTCTTTGAAAACTATTTAAACCCTTCCCTCTTCTCAGTCTGGTCACTCCCTGTCACACAAGAGATCCCGAAAGCGGAGCACTCAGACAAATGCAGCATTGTTCACTGGTCTGCAGGTTTCTTCCGGCTTTTTTAGTTTTTTCACAATGATTATTATTGCTCTTTGGTTGTTAAATACTATA